ACGAACAAAACTTAAAAAAGTACTCAACTGCCAAGTATCCTTGTTTGTCCTTCAGTGGAAAAGCATTACAAAGCCTCTTCAACACGTACTCTGTCAAAGGGACAGTGAAGAACCAAATAAAAGAATTTCAAACCCCAACCAATTACAGTATCCTTAGGCTTTCCCCGAATCTGTGCACTTTATTTCTTCCCATCTCATCAGATGTGATTTTAAAAGAGTCTGCATTTCAAAGGCCACCCTTCCTATGCCCATTAATGGCCTGCTTTGGAATTTATGTCTTAAGAAGAGGGAGACCTCTTGATTTCTTTACAAGATATGTTGATTAAAAGTTTGATAATATTAGGAGGTATTCTGGGATCTTATTTCAACTAGAGAACCTGAATTCAGCACAGTTCACTTTTATAGTCTACAGAACTGCTTAAACAACAGCCATTTAAATTAGTACATGAACAGGTGTTGTGATTTATAATGTAAACTTAAACATCAAATACAAATAGCCTTTGGGAGAAATTCAGAAGACAAAAATCATGCCCGAGAGGCCTTTCTCACATTGCCTGTTAAAGCACTGCAAACACACATATTACCTTCTTACTAAACAGTTGAGATTAATTGTTCCTACTCAGAAGACCTAAGGACTACTAGATTGAAATTTTGGAGTAGGAAAAATATGAAACACTATATATATATATATATATATATAATTCTTGGGTGTGCATGTTTATATATATTTATGTCTAAATATATACAGATATAAGTGTGTACATGTATTTATAGAAAATTCAAAGTATTCATTTAAACAGCCCAGCTGAACTGAGTTTCAAAGGTTCTTAACACAGAAGAATGAACCATGCAGATGACTGACTGCACCCACATGTGCACATGCTCATATGTGCAGTCTCTGTGGTCACGCAGATGCCCATAGGATCCTTTTTATCCAGAATTCCCACAAATTGTGTACAATAATATGGATTTGGCTTCAGAAGACTCACTATGTACGTTTTAAAGATAAACAGATACATAATCAGGTACAAATATATACTGGCAAAATAGAAAAAGAAGACTGATTCTTAATTAAAGGTTAGGATACGTAAAGAGCCAAAGAGTACTCCGGCTTATTCTAAAAATAGGAGAGAATTTACTTGTTTGCCTATTTCTTTTCCAGAAGCCAAGCCATACGTTTAGGGGAAAGGCTACACAGATTTCAGAGATTTAATTTTCCACAAGCAGAGGCCATAAATTAAAATACAGCAATCCAATCCCATTAATAGTGCAAGAAAAACCTAAGTGGTTGCTTTGGTCTTTGCTTTCACAAACTTGTGTCAAGCTCAGTGACTTCAAAGAGATTTCCATTTCATTTCTACAAATGAGGAGAACAGACAGACAGAGAGCCTCTGCCATCCCCTGATGCCTGAAGAAAACAGAAGAAAAACATGCCTGTATCTCATTCGCCTAATGATTTGAGCTGCAAAAGGAATCCTGTGGTCGGCAGACGACCCTCAGGGCAAGGGCTTGAGGTCTGTCACAGTGTATAAGGCTTCTCCAAACCCACTCCATTATCTTCATTATTGTATACCAAGAATAAAAGGGGGCTGACTCCTCTTCTGAAGTTCAAGTTAGAAAGGACAGAATGTTTCATGTAAAATAACATTGTGTGACTTCAGTAATAGGTTTATGCCTTTGGGGGCCTAATACTAAAGCTGCATATAAGGATTTTCCACAGAATTTGAGAGAATAAAAATGAGCACTGTATTAGTAATGAGTAAAATTCCACAAGTTTTAGATTCCCTGAAACACTCCGTGTCTCTGTGTCAGCATGACTCATTGTCAATCACATACTTTCATACAGCAAGGGTAAAAAGGCAAGTTTAGAGGTGGGGAAAAAAAAAAAAGAGCATGGAGCTTTAGAGCTAAGTATAAACCCCTATGAAAATAAAACAAAAAATAAAACCAAAACTCATACACATATCCAAGGAGGAAAGGGAAGTGACAGGCTTTGAGAAAGTAGGCAGCATGGTTTCCTGCAGGGCATATTAACCAAAGGCATATATACAACAAATCTACATGGAAATCACCATTTATATGAAGAGTGATGCTTCCCTTGTCAGCTCATGTGTGAGTACATGTATGTGTTTATATTATGCATACATACATGTGTGCATTTGTGCACTCTGAGCAGTAGTTTAGCAGCAATGTAAAAATCCTTGTCCTTTACTGACAAAATTTATTAATTTTTTATTTTTATTTTCTAACAAACATAATTTAAGAAAACCTCTGCTAGTATCAGTAAAGATTCTTAAAAACAGTCAAACCTGTTATCAGTATTTTGGAATATCTCACTCATCCTCAAAACCAGTTTCAGAAAAGAGAATTCCTTTCCCTAACTGATACAAGGATCGAGACCTAAAGTCGTCTACCCAGGCCTTCTCTCTTTTTCAGATTTTGAAGAAACAGGCCATTTGAAAGAATGCTTGAAAAGCACGTTTCCCACAGTAATTCAGAAGACAATTTCAAACAATAAAAAGAGAGCAAACACAGCCCATTGTACAAGTTAAATAATATATAAACTTTTGAGTACATAGAGAAATGGGAATCTAGCTCATATCTGGTCTTTGAAAGATTCACAGGAAATTGATTTAATTAAACCTCAACTACTGGTGCAAATGTTTCCCTTTCTTCCCAAAGGAAAATAAAGTATTATATTATTGTTGTTGACATAATACAGCAAAGCTTAACCAAGATTCTTGGTCTTCATCTTACAAAGCTCCACGAACTAGCAAGACTAAAAATTATTACTGAAATACACAGTGATCGCAAATTGCTGAATTGTTACCTACATGTACTATCAAAGATTCCCACTTGTAACATCTTATTCATGGGGAAATTCATTAATATGCTAATTACCTGACTAGCAACCAGTGATGACTGACAACTTTACTTTAGGACTACATGAAGAAGACATGACAATAATTTTCTGCTGGAGTTCAAACAGAGAGACATTGTGCTTGTATCAGTACATACCTCATGTAGGGAAAAAGACTCGTATTTGTGGAGGATCTCTAAGAACAGTCTTGCCATCTGCACCCAGAAATATATATTTTTTAATTAGCCACTCTAAAAACAATCATGTTGGCTGAAGGGAAGGGGGAGGGAGACTTGTCAAAATGATGTATTTGTCCCTCACCACCTTTCAATGCTCTTATGCAAGTCTAATTTTCTTCCTAGCCAGCTCACCTCTCTGGCCTCCTTTTGTTTCATGTCCCATTTCCCATTCTCTTCTAACTTCTGAACTTTTGTTAGTTCGCTTTTAAGGAGAAAGGGAAAAAAAGCTCAACTCTTTCCTATTCATTTTTTCCTGGATGGGGAGTAAGCAGATACGTGAATATGGCACCCTCATAATGATTTAACTAGGGCTTAATGAAATTTTCATCACAACCTGCTGTTCAATTTAATGGCCTTTGAAAGACAATAGAACAATGGCTAGAGGGAAGAAAAGATTTTTTGTTGCATGCATTTGCAAAGCCCAACATTCAGTTGCTCCCCCTCCTCTCTCTCCCAATCTCTTCACAAAGCTGTAGATCTTTTGTTTGTACTGTATATTTTCATTTTAGTGGAGCTGAGATAATGCACAAGCTCTGTAACCATTCTCATGTCTATCTGTGGCCTTTCCCTAATGGAGCTTGTGAAACCTCATACTCAACAGAGTATTTATACATTGCCCAGAACCCCCTGTTCTTTCCTCTCTCTCTCAGATAAAAGCCTGGTCTCCTTCCCCCCCCACCCCAAAGTCTTTTCCATCCAAAGGTACAAGGTATGTTATGGCACTGACTATTAAGTCAATGTAAATGCAAAAGAAACAATATAAGTAACATTCCAAAAAATGCTTCGACAAAGAATTTGTTTCCCAGCAGACCCTGTGCTCCAGTCAAGAAAAGACTCATTTACAATCCTGTCATGCTTGTGTACGTGACAATGTGCTTGTGTTTGCATCCATATTTTCATTCCAGTATTCAGGTTGTCCTAAAATTTTCTTGTAGGTACTGTCAATTCATACTTCCACACTGAGGGGAGCTCTGAGGGCCATGCTTTTTAACATTTGAAATACATTTTCACAACAGGATAGGTGAGTGTAAATGAAAATAAGAGTCTTGTTACTGTGCACTAGGGAGGAAGGCTTGCTATGTTCTCACAACTGCCTCACAGCGCCCCAAAAATCTGGAAAGCGTGCTAGATACCTATGGAGAATGTAGTGAGAACTTCATCTTCCAGTCAGGGCTTTGACTCTGCCCCAAAAAAGCAAAAAATTAAAATCTTGCTTAAAGGAAAGTTGCTCTGTGGCTTCTCAGAGGTGAGATGGTTGGTCTAAGTCTCAGTCTCCAGAGCACAAGTGGCATCATCACCGACTGGACATACAGTCTCAAGAAGAAACCAGTTCTCCAGAAATTATTACCAACATGCCAAGGCTGAAACTTGCTGGCCAGACATAATGCAGAGAAAGGCTGTACTGTGTTTGTATAGCACCTGCACTATAGATAAATAGAGGATGATTTGTTCCACACAAAAGCATTCGTGAATTCCCAGTTTAACTTCTTACCTTTCAAATAATGACATGCCCACTAGATAATTTCACAAAAAACCACTGACACTCCTGATAACACTGCTTTTAGTTCTAGAAATGGGGGAGAGGGGAGCAGTGGAGTAAAAGCCCCCAGGCACTTCAAATTGGTTCACTGCACCCAAGTTGAGGAGCTGTGTCTATTGCAACTGTGACAAAAAGACCACTAGATTCTAATTTGGGAAAAGCTAAAAATGTTAGCTATGATGGGACATTGCTGAAATTTATCTCTAACGTAGACAAGAACTATGAGTTTTTTACTTCAATTTTGCTAGCAAGGAAAAGCAAACAGAGCAGAAAATTGGAAGATTAAAAAGTATACATATCCAAAGGAATCTGGAGAAAAGAAAAGAAAACAGAAAATTTTGGCCAGTTTCCCAGGCCTTACCTTCTGGCTCGTTTTTGATGAGCTCTTCCATTTTTCTTTGCTTAAGGGTGTCTACAACATCCGCTAGGCTCCCTTTGCGCCTTTCCGGGGTTCCCAGGGCTGTGCTGGACAATGATTCTCCACTCTGACGCCCACCTTCTTCTGCCTTCAAGGGTGAGGTAGATGAGTTGTGCGGGGCAAATGAAGACATCACTTTATTGCCATCAACTTCCTGAAAGGGGAGAAAAACAAGATGAAATATTTCTTTCTTTTCTTAAAGAAGAAGAAAAAAAAAACAAAGACGGAAAGAAAGAAAGAAAGAACAATCCTTTGTGCTTTGAATGCATTGCTGTTTGTTCTTCTGTTGAAACCTTTAAAAAGGCATGCAATGCTTCAAAAACACCCAGAACAAAGCCTTCCCATAAAGCATAAACCAAGATTACAGGCTGGAGTGAACAAAGATCAGCTTGCAAGAGAGAAACATAAAATACAGTTTTTCCCTAATTGAGAAGTGTTGTACTCATAGGTCTCCTAATAACAATGGTATTGATTACCTTTAATTGTTTGTTCTTTTACAGCTTTCCTTCTAAAAAAAAACCTTCAATTTTTACAAGGACCATTAATTTCCTGACTTTATAAAGTACTTAATGCCTTGATGGCTAGTTGTTGTAAGAAATAAAATAGTAACCAAATACTAAATGCCCTTCGCCATATGATTTATTTTAAATCACAGTTCAAGCAGTTTTCCCCATCTATAAAGGATGAAGCAATTTCTTTCTGCTTTCTAATTCTCTTTCTATTCTCCTCTTCTGCCTCAAACCTTCATTTCTCATAGAGACAGTATTTTTCACAAAGGTGGTCCTAATGACTTTCGCTGGCAGCACAATGGCAAAACTCTGTGACTTCCCGGAACATACACACAACCCTCCTCACGTGAGAGTCCACAGAGGTCTACTCATTAATTTTAATGGAAAGCAAAACTGGGTCCAGCATCTTCAAACTTGCCTTCATTAACGTGAGAGCCTTCTAATCCACGCCTCCTCCAACATAAAACAATGTTCTCTGCACATATTCCTTTTCCTTTTATGTCTCTGTTATACTTTACCCTTCTTACACATCTCTCAAACCCATTTCTTCCTCTGCTAACATATGCCATATCTACCTGCAGAACTTAGGTCAATGTCTCCAAACATAGCTTGCTGCAGAGTACATACACTGCATAAAACATAATGCTATAAATGTGTATAGTTTTTACTTTGATCTGATTTTCCAGGTATTTTTTTCACTATTTTATTTCCTTACATTTTTGTACTCCAGATGTTCAAGGAATATTATTTCTAAAAAAGCCACTGGATCATCTTGTGAGCTGAGTTACAGACTTGGCCGAAAAAGTCGTAATAATTTTTAAATTGTTTTCATTTTATAGGGTATGAAAGTGATATAAATATATATATACATGCACACAGTTTTTAGTGATTCGTATAATAATAATTTTTTTCTGAGCAATTTTTTATGTCTCTGTTCTAATAAACCACAGTATTTCAGGAGAAAAAAGTATATTTTTGTAAATAGAACATAAATTGCTAAAAACTATCTCAATAAAATCTGAATAAAGCTACACGGGAGATACACAATAGAGAATATATTTGTTTTCACAGACCGCTTTGTTGTGGCAAAAAGATTACCTTTGCTTAAGAAAACTTTTAATGCAAATAGTTTTGAGCAGCTTGAATGTGTTATACTAGTGAATAAATTCCCTAAGAGAATCGGATTTAACTGAGATTACAATCTGGGCCATCATATGCCCCAAAAGCCAAACCCAGTGCTGTTAATGAGAGACTTTCTACTGACGTCAATGAGCTTTTGACCAAGCCCTAAAAAATTTTCCAACTCTAGTCAACAGAAATGCTCCTTTTTTTCCTTTTTTTTTTCTTGCAGCTCCCTCCATTTTTATTTTGCACACGGAAAATTACAAGTTCCTGACACCGGACTTCAAAAATTAATTGAAGCCAAATGCAATTTTTTTTCCCATATATATAGATCTGAATAAACTGGTTTTTAACACCAATTTAGACAAGGCAAATAGTTAACTTCAGCATCAGTTCAGATTTTATCTAAGATTCAAACCTATTATCACCAAGTGGCAATTTTTTTCCTACACACAAGGCCAAAAGAGGAAGTATCTTGAAAGCTGCTTTCTTATTCATGCTTTGAATCAGAGAAGCCAAATATCATCATTAGTTACAGTTCTTAAATCTACTTGTACTATCAATTATATACAGGAACAGTGCTGTTCCTCATTTTACCAGGAACTAGTTTCTTGTTTTAATCCAAAGCATGCCCCAAAGACATTCACTCGTGTTTCTGCATGTCACACACTGGTCACAGACACAAAGTACTTGTAACAGCTGCCTAAACCTCAGGTGTCATCACTGCTGTTTTCATGTACAATTTAGGTGCATGTAAGTGGGTTTTTTTATGTACAAACATATTCTGTGTATACAACCAGTTTGTTATAAGAGAAGCAGCATAAGAACACAATATTATGTAAAGCAGCATCAGATGATTTTCAAAATCACAAATTGCTTGGCTTTCAAAATGGAACTCACAAGTATTTTCAAAACTACTAAAATTTCTCTGCCTCACTTTCTGGGGAAAAGGAATTGTGAGGGGGAGAGGTCAAGGCAGTTGTCTGTGGGCAAAGCATCATGAAAGGACTTCTGGATGCTCAATTTCTAATTTTTCCAAATGTTCAGTGAAACCATGGTAAAAGTAACTTTTGTTTCTGCATTTTGGTTTCCTATCTGTAAAACAGGCACAAAAGAAGTAATTTCTTATATTGCAAAGGTTTTGGAATGATAAACTCATTAATAACAGAGACACCCTCCTACCACAATGTTGGCTAAAAGCCTTTATATAGTACCACAGTTAAAAAGACTTCACAGCTGAACTAAAAAAGGAAAGGGAAGTGTTCTACACAGATTTTTTTAAAAGGTAAATTATATACTAAAATGCACAACTAAGTAATCATCCCCAAAATAAAAATGTTTCCTTTGACTGCTCTCGTTAGGTGTGCATGTATGCAGTGTTTGCACATCACATACGTGAGCTATTTATACACTTGTAGGGTTTAAGATACACTCCACTTAATCAAAACACATATACAGTAGGGGAACAGCTGCAATCACATCTCAGTGGGCTAAATTACAGTACACCAGTGAATTATTCATTCAAAAAGATCTGTAGCAATCACACATTCATTGCGTGATTTGCAATCTAAGAGGGATCCTCTCCTTTCCATACCAGCGGATGAGCGCACACATCAGCTTCTGCTGTGGATGACAGTTCAACATGTATCCTCTAGCACACCAGCTCGAGAATCTGTCTTCCCCACTTGTCCATGATCTTTTTATTCTGTCATTCACAACAACAACCTGAAAACGTGCAACTGTTATCTTGGCTTTCGCTTTACATCCCTCTGTTTGATTTTGCTCTTTCTTGTGCCATTACTGGAGAAAGTGGGTCTGGATTTTTACTTCTAGCACGTAGAAAGAAAGCGTCCTTCCACATAAAACCTGCTTGTGTCAATGGTTGTATAAAGCTAAAAAACTTCTTGTAAAGAAAATCCTCTGATACCGCATATGAGAGCTTAACTAGCCCCTTGAAAACACTCAGAGAAATCCTTAATGGCAAGAAAGATATGTCAGCAACAGTTTAAAATTAATCCCCTGAGAAGGAAGTTCCCTCCCAACAAGCGAGATTTAGCAGGTTCCTTTTCTAAAAGGACAAATCGACATGACGTTTTTTCAGTTTAACTGAGAGAAAAGCAACAACACTGTAAGGAGGGGTATTAAAGAACATAAATATCTACTAATGACATTTTAAAACTAAATCCACACACAAGATCTATCAGCCACCAAAACAGTGGAAAACCACGCTTTTACTGTAAAACAGTCTCTCTCAGCTGCGTAACCATTTCACCTGTTCAAGTTTGATTACATTCCAGCCTCTGGCACTGTTAATCCTGGTAACAGTTTTATGCAGTTAGCAGCTGCTTGGTGGACGGGGCTCTATTGTTCATTTGCATTGCGAATTGCTCTGCTAATGTGTGCTGGCACAACATTTCCTCCAACTCTGAGCTGGGATTGTACTCACCAACACCTGATGCTGCTGCTTCTTGCTTTTCCCACTTCGGAAAGGCAGACAAGGACCTTACACAGATCGTGCTGGAGCAAACACTCTAGGCCCTTCTTCCCCCCAGCATCAACAGCAACAAAAAAAGGGACTGGCCCTCGTTTCTTGTCTTCTGCTTCTGTTCCAAGCTAGAATCCACAGGAAGATTCATTCATTTACAAGAAAGTTGCCTAGATATTGCCAAACAGCTTTCCACCTATGGAGGAAATACCTCTTCCAAGGTTTAATGATAAAACAGGCTTCTGCCCTTTCAGGATGAGGTCAATAATCTTCCTTTGTTAATCTTGGGCAAGCTTTACTTAATCTAGCCCCCTTGTCACCTTTGTGATTGACAGGAAAAGTCGTGTCACTGGACAATGGACTTATCCTCACTGAGCAATATCTTTTTTGAAGATTACACAATGTTACCCTTGCTCTCATAAAAAGTGCAAACATTTTGCTGTTAAAAGAAACTGTTCATTCCAACTGTATCTTTCAAATTGTCTCTTTCTGTTTCCAGGGTCCAAGCGAGGCCTGTTTCAGTTCTACGGAGGGACAGTGACAGGCTTAATGAAAAGAAACAGGTTGTACTTGGTGAGATTTTCAAAGTATCTCTTAGTGCTCTAAATAGATCTCATCTTCTCCTTCTTCATCTAGAGATGCACATTATTTCTGTCTGCAATTAAACTCAGACAGGAAACCCTTCCATGACATTAAAATTTTGTCCCAAACCAACCAAGAATCGAAGCAGAAGAAAACTCAAAACTAAGTCTGAAACTGTTAATTACCACCATATGGTATGAAAGGAGGTTGCATCTGCAGGGGGAAAAAAAAATAAAAAAAAATATCATGAGAATCTTCTGGGTTTGCAGCCAAAAACACCTGGAATAAAATACTTGTGTCTTTAAAACAAGCGCTGATATTGTCTGATTTTAAGAAGCCTGTGATCCTAAAAGCAACCTAACAGGTTCTTTTTTTCAAAGCTGGAATTTTGCCCATACTTCGTTCTTTTAGAATGTGTAAAGAAGACACAAGGGTAATATTTTTTTCTCTGCTTTC